GCCGAATTATATACTTTTTTGACGAATGATTGACGAGTGGCATTATGCCGAATAAATCCATTTCGACTAGTGTTATCTACTATATTATTAACTTATAAATTTATAAATTTAAATTATTAAATACAATATATGCAATTAAAATTATTATATTAAATTAGAAATTAATTTATGAAAAATTTTATTTATTAACAAAAAAAAAAAAACTCTCTCCTGATCACATTTGTTTTTTTAAATTTTTCTTTTATAGTAATTTTAAGCAAGAAAAAATATTTTATATTCTTTATTATAAGTGAACCCTAGTTCAGAAACTTAAGAATATTCAAGATTACTGGTACAGTGGGATGGGACCTCTAGTCAAAATCTATTCAAGTTTAGAAGTCTTATTTACTCTTTGGTTGCATGAGGAAAGGTTCATAACAATTCTTTATTCTTTTGTTCTCTTACAGTGATCATCATAAATAACGAGAATTTAATGACACGTAACTGCTATATATAAATTTTCTGATCATGTACTCCTAACAATATCAGCTTTTAATGATGGGTTGTTTATATATGTAACTTAAAAACAAGCCACCAAAAAACCCATTCCTATTTAGTTTTCCCACTTTTTTTTTATCCTAAAATGGAAAAAATCCCTCTTGCTAACCAACGAAAAACTGTAAATAAGCTTTGGAACTGTGATGTTCGCGATGCCCTGACTCTGGCGAAATTAAGTGATGTTTTGCTTTCTACAGCATATAAGTATATTATCCAACTAAAAAAAATCATGAACTTGGACCTATTTTGTATCCTGGATAATCAACAATTTTAACTTCTTCAAATCGACATGTGCTAGGAAGAATTATTCAAAATGATTAATACCTTACCTGCGAAGAAATTGTCACTAAGCTTAGTAATAAGATTAAAATATCAGCATGAACAGTAAATCGTGAGCTTAATAAGCTTGGTTACTACTCAAGTCACCCCAAACAGTACCTTTACTTACTACAAAGCAATGTGAATGACATTTAGAATGAGTGACTGCTTATACAAGGCAGAACTAAAAAAATGTCGTATTTTCGAATAAAACTACCTTCCAGATGTTTTATAACACCATAATAGCATTTTACAAGACAAGAATGGATGTTTCACAAAAGGTGGTTTCAAAACGCCCAGTGAAAGTTTATGCGTGGGGTGCTTTCTCAATGCGCAAAACAATCGGCTTCCATATTTTTACTCAAAATATGGATGGGTCGCTCTATCACGATATTTTAACTAATAATCTTTTTGAAAATGCATCTAGAATTATGTCGTTGCATTGGGTCTTCCAGCAGAATAACGACCCAAAACATATGGCAAAAGACACAACCGAACTTCTTTGTCGTCAAGTCCTGAAGATCCTCAATTGGCCTTCCTATAGCCCTGACATAAACCCAATAGAGAATCTATAGGCTATTATCAAAAAAAGGGTAAAGAAACAAGTATGCAAAATAATTAAAAAAAAAAAATTAATGTTATGCAATGGCATGAAATAATTCGAGAAGAATGGGAGAGTATTTCCGTAGACCTATGTCTTAATTTGATAAACGAAATGTCAGGGCAATTAAATAACGTTATTGAAAATAATTGAAAAAAAATTGATTATTAGATGTATATAGATTTTTTAATAGATGTTACATGGACATCATTGCAAAATCACAACCCAAATAAATAAAACCTACGAAATTTATATTAAAAAAATAATTCTCGTTATTTATGACAAGCACTGTATATCCCTTCTTACTCTTATTCTATTATAAAAACCATTCATATTATTATTATCATATTCTATACATATTACTGAAATTTATAGATCTTTGACACAATTGATGCAATTATTTGACGCAATTAATTGAGTCACTATTAAAACATATAAATAATTGAGTCATAACGCAATTATTTTTGAGGATTTTGGGAATTGAGTTAACAGCAAAATAATTTACGCCACATGTATATATAGACCCATAAGTCAGTTTTTTTTTTTTTTAAATTGAACTAGTTTATTTTAATATAGTATTATATTATATATTGTATTATTGTTATTTAAAAATTAGATTAATAAATGCTATAACTTGTAACACCAACCTGATTGAGGGAAAAATAAATAAATAAATAAATGCTATAACTTGTAATCTGATTAGAAGCAATATATATATAATTAATATTAATTCCGGCCGGGCTTATAATAATTTTAACCCGACTTTTTATAATTTTGGCCAAGTAATCTGCATAATTTTGGTTAATTTCAGCATTATTCCTAACAACAAATAATATTTTATTATATTTATTATATTAATTGATTAATAAATATTATACAAAATATTAGATGCCAAGTGATATAAAACAAAACAAATGATATGGTTTTAGCATATATTTTTATTAATAATTTCTAAATTATTTATTTTTATAATATTATGTGTCGGAATATTATTTCTTTTAATAAGATATTTAAAGTATATACCATAAAGCATAAAGTGTATAAAGTTCTAAAAAATTTTAATAGATCAATATATGATTTGATATTAGAGATGAATATGTATATATATTAAGCTTGTTTACTGGATCGGAGTATCAAGTGTTTATAATGAAAACAAATATATCTTTTTACTTGGGCGTCAACGCTAGGAACATGTTACGCATTGCATTGCAAATATGCATATCATTGGATGCCACAAACCGCATAAACAATGGATAAAACACGTCACCCACTATGCGACATGTGAGTGGACAGAGAAGACATTTGTACTCAGAAAGTTCCCTCAATATCTCACGACTTTCTACCGACAAAAAGTTCACCAAAAATTGGTTAACCACCCCTCCACCCATCCAACAGGTAGACTTTCTTTAATTTCTACTCACTCGAATCATAATGGGTTCTACGACCGCTTCTCCAGAAGCAAGTCCGACAAGGTCTGACAGGTCAAGGTGAGAGAATTGTTTAAACTTGAGAAATTTTAAAAACATCACCCATTAAAATTTTGGGATGACGTGTAAAATTACATTATTAGGAAACCTGGAAGCGAAATATACATTCCCAGACAGAGACGTAGTCTGACTGGTGAGGAGCAGTTGCCAGATTCTAAGGATAATGTCAATAATGACAATTCCGATAATCAAGACAATACAGTCATCAGGAAAGGTCGAGGAAAATTTTGTGGTCCTGGTAGTGACAATCAACAAGACCAACAAGTCTCTCGTGCTGCAAGAGGTCGCGATTTCGATGCAACTTCCTTACGACAATATCCACCGAAGGCGGGAGATAAGACACCAAGCAAAGGTCACGCTAGAAGAAAGTCAAAATCGGATAAAAGAAATAGTAATGGATTTCAAGGCTCTGAAAGTGGCGGATCTGGCAGTGACAATAATGCATCTGATGATGTAGCTAGAGTTACAAATTCGCTTGAGAACTTAAATGTTGCTGATAGCGAGAGTGAATTAAAACCCGCTCCTCAACCAGATAATACACCTTCAACTCCACAAGAACATCTAAGACAAGACAGTGAAGAATGGGAAAAAAATGCGGACGGAGAAACAAAGAACAAAACAGGTGTTACCAGTCCTGTTACCAGTCCTGCAGAAGGAGTCCCAAATCCATTTGACTGGCAAGCAAACAAACAAAAATTGGACGGCCAGAAGAATGATAATGCGAAAAATGATAATAAGACGGGCTTCAAAAAAAGTCATAGGAAAAACAAGAGTAGCAAAATTGAATTCAATTTTGATCCAGGTATATCAATAGTTTGAGAATCCATATGGACCTTTTCGTATTGACTAACAGACTATTTTCAGATGCTTTCGAGGGGTCTACACGTATTCTTGACGTGCTTGATTTTCCTGCTTCTTTCAAGACACATCATCTTCACGAAATTTTTCAAGAATACGAAACCATGCGCGGTGGTTATCATATCAAGTGGATGGATGATACCCGTGCTTTGATCGTCTTTGAACATCCAGCCACAGGTCAGAAACTAACTATTATTACTTATTACTTCAACTTTCATATCACCGAACTATAAAGTAATATATTTAATCACAATAGCGCGAAAGGCATATCTTGACAATGTTAACAATCAACTCGCCACCATCAAACCATACGAAGGTCCAACGGATTTTCTTCAAAAAAGTGAGTTATCTTGGTTAATATTCTTGATGCTTTATTATATCATAATTGCTCACAAGTGTATTTTAAGATCCATCACAACCTCGTGCACGCCCTCCAACCACTGATATGGTCGCTAAACGTCTTGTTCATGGCGCTCTTGGGGTTCGTGTCGCGAGATCACCCGAACAGCGTCAAGCAGAAATTCAGATTCTCAGGAATGCCAAAGGTAGCTTTTCTCTCTCTTCTAGTTAATTATGATGACGAATGGATCAAATGTTGATAGTTTATTTGAAAAAAATAGATCAACGCGACCAAAGGCGTAATGAAAGTATTAGGCGATCTCAGGACTTGGATGCTGCATTCAATGAATAATCTTACATTTTGCTATCATTATTGTCCCATTAGTTTTTGTATCATTACTCAATTCCACACTTTCAAAATGTAAATCGAAGAAGGATGTGGTAAAAAAAACATTTCAGATGCTCAAGAGACAAATCTGTCCGTTCTCCATCAACCTTAATAATTCATCCTCTTTCTCCAATATCTCGTTTATTTATTAAACTATTGGTTAAAAAATACATCAAAATATACCACATCACCTTCTATGTCCAAGTCTTCACGTTTCTTTTTCTTCTTTTTCTTTCGCCCTCTGATTTTTCTTTGTATAATACATCTTACGATATTTTTCAAAACCTTCCTGAAATTTTTTTGGAACTTTTTTGTAAAAAACTATCTCACCTCCATTGACATTGAAATGCATGTTAAACTGTCGTAAAACACGATTACACTGTGGAACAAATCTGTTTTACAATCAATAGAAAATAGAAACTGTGTTAAACGGGTATTAATTAATGATGGATGATGAATGAGATGTATAAAAAATTACTTTGAAGCTACTCTAACTTTCTCCGCATATATGTTTTTCATGAAAAACATGGCCAATGTAATAACTGCAATGAAAAGCAATAGTTTACTGAAAAACTGAAAGGTGGGATTCTAAGGTTGAAAAACGTGTAAATATTAATTTCTGTAATAATTAATTTCTTTCGGTAAGACATACGCACCTCATTTTTGTGTATAAAGACAGCATATAAAAGCATTGGAAGAGACAAACAAATGAAACCTAAAAACGCTTGAAGTCGAAAAAAAATAATAATGTGAAAAAAAATAATAAAATGTGAAAAAGAATGAAGCAAGAATTTGTTATTAACCTTCATATTTGTGACTCCGTTTTCGCAGTTGATTCAAGTTTTGTTTTAATCTTTCTTCAAATATTAAAAGATCCTTATATCTTTGATGATTAGTGGGAGGGGCCGAAAATGATTGATTATTTGCAGCAGAATCTGTGTGAGAAGAAATTTTTTTAGATTCTATGGAAGGGGACGATGTCATCGTGGAGAAACGCGTTCTTCCAGACATTTTAAGCATATATTAACAAGAATAATGAAATGTAAAATCGAGTACCATCAAAGCATCTTATGACCTTATCACCCGCCCGATGATCAACTATTAACCTTTTGAGTTACAAATTTCAGATCATTTATTATTAATATGTTATTATTAAAATATAGCATTTTTAAAATGAATTAATATATATGCAAATGTTATAAATTTAACATGTACTCCATATGTAGAAGACAAAAATAAAATAAAATAAATAAATAAATTTTGATACCAATTTTTTTTTTTTTACAAAATTAAATATTATAAAGATTTATTTAATTAATAAAATAGTTTATATAATTTTTTATTTTTAAAGTATTGATTTTTTTATAAGAAAATATAAATAAATAAATTATTAAATATTTTAATACTGATTTAAAATAGATTATTTGACTATATAAAATTTTATTGTTTGGTTCAATTTATACTATTTAATATTTAAAAAAATAATAATAATTTGATATTAAAAATAATATATTTGATAATTAAAAATATATACAGTATATATATTTGACAATTAAAAAAATATTTGATAATAAAAAAAAACATTTGACAAAAATTTATAATAATAATAATATTATTATTATTATTATATTATTAAATAATCATTTTTTAAAAATATAAAATAAACTAATCAATTTAGATTATTTAAATAATTTAAATAGTTTAAATTATTTAAAAGATTTGTTATTATATTATTATATTATTATATTAAATGAACTGATATATTTAATTGTTTAAATTAAATTAAAAAATTTAAAAGATTTAAAGAATTTATATAAAATAGTATATAAATTATTATTATTTATATAATTATTAATAAATTTTAAATTTTATTCTTATAAATAATTTGAAATTATTAATTATCATTAATTATAAAAATTCTAAAAATAAATAAATATATATATATATATATTTTTTGTAGGTAAACATCATTTCTTTATTTGATTTGTATATAGCAGGATATACATTGTGAAAGAAATAACATCTTTCATATGTTGATACAATGAGTTAAATACTAGCTTGCCTACAGTAACCATATAACTAATATTGAAAAAAAAATTTAAAACAATATATTTTGCCGGATGGCACCAAGCAACTATAAATACCTATTCAACATTAGGAGAAATAGTAATAAAATTGGAATTGGTGGATAGAGTTGTTAGACTATGAATACATTTGGAATAATTATATTTAGATTGGATAAATAAGTTAGTCACAATAAAAGATAGATCAATAATGATGCTATTTTGTGAATTATTGAAGGTGTCTTTGGTCTGTAAGGTGTTTTTAGCTTCTGGATTGATGGAATTGACTGAATTGTATATCTTAATATGGTCCCACTTGATTCCGATAAAAGGTGAAGTATTGGCTGTAGAGCAACGTGATTTCCAAATTAGATTATACAATAAGGATAAAGATTCTATTGTTGCTTTGATCCAGTTCGTAAAGTCTATAATTAAAAAGATTTTGTCTATAACTCTATATGATAACTCAACGACTTGCCATATATGTGAGATCGGTTTATGATTATCATCTGGATGGAGAGTTTGATTGATAGCTTTAATAATTTGTTTAGCTGCTTGTGACGCTTCTGCACATTTGAAAACATGTTAAATGTCTTTCACACAAAGTTCACATTGTAGACAGAGAGTATTTAGATATTGATTAGGATATAACTGGTAAAGTGTAAAACAGGTTGGAAGAGTTCCTGAAAGCAGTTTGATTCTGAAGGCTATTAAAATACTGTATTTGTTATTACGAAGTTTTCTAATATTTTTGTTAGACTAGTTGATGACTTTTAGACTGTGTGGGGTATGTGTTCATTCAAATGTTTGAATAACTGAGAAGCTTTCATATATCATGTAGTCTCTGATAATACTAAAGATTTTTTTGCACCATCTAATACTGCTACCCAAGCAAGAATTATTGATTAGGGGGTTTTCTGGAAAGTGTAGTGAAGGGTTGTTTCACTGAATGGTTCTGATTAATCTTGGTCTGAATTTTGGTTTGATATATATGATCTCTATAGATTTTTGTTATATGTACTGATTTATTATCTGAGATAGTGAGAAAAAGTTGATTTTAACCATCCTTCTTAAGTATTCAAGTACCAGTTGAAAGATTTTTTTATTGTTTCTAATTTCAATGGTAGAGTAAGCTGGGATTCCTTGTATAATGTCAAAGATTGCCAGTAAAATGTTGTCTGGTGATAGGCAGAAGTTGAGCAGTTTTACTTTAGTCTTATTTATAACTAGACTGTTCTTGTGAAATTAAATATGGTAATGTTGTTGTATGCCGAGAAAAATAAATATTTTTTTTAAAATATTAATAAAAAATATTTTATTATAATTTTAATTAAAACTATATACAGTATATTATTAAAATTTATATAATTAATTAATTATTGGTTTTTTTTAAAATAAATTTTAGTTATTTATTTATTTTTTTTTTTCCTGATAGGTAAATATCATTTTTTTATTTATTAATATTATACTTAAAAATTATATATACTGTGAAGGGCAGAACGGCAAGTCTGTTGCTAAATGATGATGGAATTCGCGTAACTGCCGGTCCACTCTTAATAAAGATGATCGAAGAGGCGAAACGTTAGATTTGGCCCAGGTGAGTATTTTAATTATTGTTTTATATTGTGATTCTCTCTTTTTCCTTTATTAAATGCTATCGTTTTTATACACTTTTCAATAGAAATTATTAGAAAGTTGTAGA